GTTTATGAAATTTTGCGTGTTGATTCATTTTTTTAAACAGTTAATATAAAAGCAACTAAGACAGCTTAGGTTTCTTAACAGCTGTAAGAATTACAGTTTTTAAAATGTGAAATGAGTTTAAATGCATAATACAAATCAAATGCAAATCAGAAAGAAAGGAAATTAATATTTTTTGCTTTTTTTCTTTATGCCAACAGTTGTGCCCTTTAGATACTTATGCTTTGTGTTCTTGTATCATTCTGTGATTATCTCTGTCCTGGTACCTATCATCCTATATTGTAATTGTTTACTTGTCTGTCCCCCAGCTTCTTAAAGATGACAAGTGTGTTTTTTGTCCAAATTGCTAGCAGTTAGTGTAGTACTATCCATAGTGGATACTTAGTGTTGAGCACATCAATTTTTATCCCCATTTTAAAGATGAGGAAACTGAGGCTTAGAAAGATTAGTAATATGTACCAAGATGACTTTACTAGTTTGTGGTAGAAAAAGTTTGAAATTAGGGTTTTTGCTTCTTAAACTCCAAATCGATGATCTCTGAAAATATTCATAAGAAGTTAGTAACTTTTATTGCCTCCTGGAATAGGAAAGGAGCTTGAGCACAGAAATGTTCCAATACAGTAGTTTTGGAACCTTTTGAATTTTGAACCACATGACTATGTTAGATATTCAAAAATATAAATATTTTATTAAACATACAGAAACTTACCAGATGGAATTCTATATTAAGCTTTTTAAATATTGCATCATATGAGCGATTTGTTTTTTTATTTTGTTGATGTGTTTAGAATCAGGGATCCTACCATAATTAGTATAGATTTTCTTTTTAATTGGTTGGTATATGGTTTCAAATTGCATAGATTTTTATAAAAAGTTTTCTGGGAGTTCCTCTGTATATCTCATTTATCCTTTTTATTTTTGAACAAAAACAATTAAAAAGGGAGAGAGGAAGAACAGAAGATCTAAGTCCCTCTCTAATGTGAATGAAATTTTACTTTTTAAAGTATTTTTTCTTAATCTTTATTTGTAGGGACTTTTTAAATTAGGTCAGTACTTGGCGATATACCCAAGATTTTATTTGATTATCTCTAATTAGAGTAGTTCTGGCTGCATTTACAAAAACTCTGCTGCAAACTGACTTAAATAATCAGGAAATGTTGAATCTCATAAATATGGTATAAAACTTCTTTCAATCAGTGGGCTTGAATCTACTTTAGAGTTAGGGCTCCAAATCTGGGCAGCTTGTAGTTGGAGGGGAATGCATATTACAGATTGGTAAAAATGTAAAGTTTCTGAACCAGTAAATGGTATGAGGTTCACTGTGATTGGTTTAGGCCAATCAGGACCAGTCCCAGAGATGGAGTCAAGAGCTAAAACCATATTGATGCCACCTGGTGGGTGAGAAGGGGGAATTTGAAGAGTTACATTATTTTGTCCATTTGGATGTCTTAATTGTCCTTCAAATAAAATATGTATAATTGACTTCTCTGTCCCTAATAATAACTTTTGAGGAATATAATTGTGCTGGATAATGGGTACATGGGGGTTTCTTTTACTACTCTCTACTCCATACAAATTCCATAATAAAAAGTTTTTAAAGAGAAAAGTGGATCACAAAAATAAAAAGTAAAGGATGATTGTTTATTGTAACTCTTTTTCTGGGTTGGTGTGTGTTTTTACAATCATACTGATTGTTTTCTTTCTCCTCTATTAATATGTAGAATTAACATGTAATTCTTCTTCTCAAAGCCTAAAAAGCACATCCCTTAATTAAAGTTGACAGTAGTACTTTAGTATTGACATAGAAGACCAATAGCTTATTATTAGAATGAAGACAGGTTCACAGGTTTTGAAGTTACCACTTGCATTTCAAACCAAACTCCCCCAACATGCTCACTTAATAGCTACAAGAGCATGGGCAAGTTAGTCTCTCTTACCTTCAATTTCCTTTGTAAAATGATCATAATAACAAATCTCATAAGGATAAATGGTGAGGATTTAAAAACTGTACATAAGTTTCTAGCAAATAGCCTAGCATTTGTTCAGCTCCAGTTACAATTATAGCCATGTGCTGCTTAACAACGAGAAATATGGGGTTAGGCCAGTGGTCCCCAATCTTTTTTGGCACCAGGGACCAGTTTCATGGAAGACAATTTTTCCACAGACCAGGGTAGGGGGATGGTTTCAGGATGATTCAAACGCATTACGTTTATTGTGCAGTCACACCTCTCTGCTAATGATAATCGGTATTTGCAGCTGCTCCCCAGTGCTAGCATCACCACCTCAGCTCCACCTCAGATCATCAGGCATTAGAGTCTCATAAGGAGTGCGCAACCTGGATCCCTTGCATGCACAGTTTACAGTAGGGTTCAGGCTCTCACGAGAATCTAATGCTGCTGATCTGACAGGAGGCGGAGCTCAGGCGGTGATGCGAGTGATGTGGAGCAGCTGTAAATATGGATGAAACTTTGCTCGCTCACCCAATGCTCACCTCCTGCTGTGCAGCCCAGGTTGTAACAGGCCATGGACTGGTAGAGGTCCTTGGGAAGCAGTTGGGGACCGCAGGGTAAGGCAATTTTGTCACGTGAACATCACAGGATGCACTGTGCTTACACAATTTAGATGGTATAGCTTATTGCTCCTGGGCTGCAAACTTATACAACACGTCACTGTACTGAACACTGTAGGCAGTTGTAATACAGTGGTAAATATTTGTGTATCTAAACATAAAAATGAGGCCGGGTTCGGTGGCTCACACCTGTAATCCTAGCACTCTGGGAGGCCAAGGCGGGAGGATTGCTTGAGCTCAGGAGTTTGAGACCAGCCTGAGCAAGAGCGAGACCCCGTCTGTACTATAAATAGAAAGAAATTAGCCAAACAACTAAAAATAGAAAAAATTAGCTGGGCACGGTGGCGTGTGCCTGTAGTCCCAGCTACTCGGGAGGCTGAGGCAGGAGGATCGCTTGAGCCCGGGAGTTTGAGGTTGCTGTGAGCTAGGCTGATGCCACGGCACTCTAGCTCGGGCAACAGAGTGAGACTCTGTCTCAAAAAAAAAAAAAAAGAAAGCAAATGTGGTAAAAAGTTAACAGTTGGTGAACCTAGGAGGTGAAGGGCTCTGTGTGTGTTTATTGCACTACTATTCTTGCTTTTTAGTGTTTTTTTAAATATTTAAATTTAAAAGTTGGGAGGGGCGCTTATTTCTGTTTTGAACCCAAGTCCATCTTTTTAATATTTTTTGCCCATTGTTTTAATTGTGCTGTTTATAGCCACTCTGATGGATCCAAGTTCTCTCTCATGTGGTGTTAGTGGTATTGGTGGTGGTGATATTGGTAATTTTTACATAACGTGTATTGAGTATGTACTGTGACATATGCCAGACATCGTGTGGAACACATTACATACATTATTTTAGTTAATCCTCCTAACACCTCTTGAGTTAGTACTCATTTCTTCTTTTAAAGATGAAAAGACAGATGCTTAGAAATCACTAAAGCAACAGAAAAAACGTTTCATCTTAAGAATGCAAATGTGAGTTTGTGAGGCAGGCTAGAATATTCATTGATGAAAAGCATGATAGAAAAATTTGTGATAACGTTACTAGGCATGCATATTTTTCTGGCCTTTAACTTGTTGAATGTGTAAGCTACCATGGAGAAGCCTCTAGTGTGGTGGTTAAAAGCACAGTTCCTGAAGCCAGAAAGCCTAGGTTCAAATCCCAGTTCCACCATTTGCAAGATGCTGCTGCCTGAGAAGCACTTCTCCAGGATTGTATACTGGGAACTTCTCTCATATTAGTTTCCTATTGCTGCTGTAACAAATTACTACAAATTTAGTAGCTTGAAATAATACAAGTTTATTATCTTACAGTTCTGGAGGTCAGAAGTCCTAAATGGATGTCACTGGGCTAAAATTAAGGTGTCAGCAAGGGACTAAATTTTCACTTGGAAACGCTAGAGGAGAATATTTCCTTGCCTTTTCCAGTCTCTAGAGAATCTACCCACATTCCCTGGTTTATGACCTCTATCTTCAAAACCAGCAGTGTCATATCTCTCTGTGCCTTCCTTCTAAGTAACGTCTCCCTGTGATTCTTCTGCCTTCCTCTTCTACTTTTTTGTTTAGAGACGGTCTCATTCTGTCGCCCAGGCTGGAGTGCAGTGGTGTGATCATAGCTCACTGCAACCTCAAACTTCCTGGGTTCAATTGATCTCCTGCCTCAGCCTCCCGAGAAGCTGGAACTACAGACCCATGCCACCACACCCAGCTAATTTTTTTATTTTTTTATAGAGATGCGGTCTTGCTACATTGCCCAGGCTGGTCTCAAACTCCTGGACTTAGGTGATCCTCCTGTCTTGGCCTCCTAAAGTGCTGGGATTAGAGGTGTGAACCACGGCACCTGGCCTCCCTCTTCCACATTTAAAGACACTTGTTATTACTTTGGGCCTACCCAATGTAATAACAGATAATCTAGAATAATCTCCCTCTTTTATGATTAGCCTTAAATTAGACTGATTAGCAACCTTAATTCCATCTCCAATCTCAATTCTCCTTTGCCATGTAACCTAACATATTCACAGATTCCAGGGATTAAGGCGTGGGTATCTTTGGGGGACTTTGTTTTTTTCCTATATATCTATATTTAAATTCTGAAGTTGTATAAAGTAGCTGGGGCCAGGAGATGACGATTCCAAAGTGGAGATTCTGGCCAATGCTGAGCACTGTGAGTAGGGCCAATAATTGGGTTTGAGTTAGAAGGAACTACCGAGTGGTATCTATACATGTTTTTTAATTCTCTTACTATTATAAAATATATATAATAAATTCAATATTAAAGAGTGGAGTAGAAGGCAACTTTTAGTTGCATCTTAGTAAAGAAATGATTAAAATATTAGAATACATTTTATTTCTGTTGTTTCGTGCCAGCCTCCAGAGTAAATTGTTCTTGATTTAATTGCAATTTAGAGAAGCTTCAAGTTTAATTTTAATTTTTAAATTTTTTATTACAGAGTTTAACTACCCTCGGATGCTCCTGTTGATATGGAGAAGATTGAGGAACAATTCGCTAATCTGCACATATATAAATGTTCCTCAGGAACTAAAGAACCCACTTACCTTCTTGACATAGACACATCAAAGACTGTTCAAAGAGAAAAAGAAAGCTTGGTGGCTGTTTTATGTTCTAATGGATCAATCAGAATATATGATAAAGAAAGGTTAAATGTACTACGAGAATTTAGTGGATATCCTGGACATCTCAATGGAGTCAAATTTGCAAATTCCTGTGACAGTGTGTATTCAGCATGTACTGATGGCACTGTAAAATGTTGGGATGCTAGATTAGCCAGTGAAAAACCTATCCAGCTGTTTAAGGGTTATCCTTCCAATGTTTTTATCAGTTTTGATATCAACTGTAATGATCATGTCATTTGTGCTGGTACAGAAAAAGTTGATGATGATGCATTGTTGGTATTTTGGGATGCAAGAATGAATTCTCAGGATTTCTCTACTACTAAAGACCCACTTGGTGCATATTCAGAGACACATAGTGATGATATCACTGAAGTACGTTTCCATCCCAGCAATCCCAACATGGTGGTCTCTGGTTCAACTGATGGCCTAGTAAATGTATTTGATATTAGTGTTGATAACGAAGAGGATGCACTGGTTACAACCTGTAACTCAGTTTCATCAGTAAGCTGTATTGGTTGGTCTGGGAAAGATTATAAACAGATTTACTGCATGACACATGATGAAGGATTTTATTGGTGGGATCTTAATCATCTGGATACTGATGAACCAATTACATGCTTGAATATCCAGGATGTCAGAGAAATAGTTCACATGAAAGAAGGTATTTTGGACTATTTGATTGGTGGCCTATATCATGAAAAGTTGGATAAATTGTTTGTTATTGGAGGCACGAACAAAGGAAGGATTCACTTAATGAACTGCACCACATCAGGATTGATCCATGTGACGAGCCTTCAGGGAGGACATGCTGCTACAGTCCGTTCTTTCAGTTGGAATATGCAGGATGATTCTTTGCTGACTGGGGGAGAAGATGCACAGTTGTTACTTTGGAAACCTAGAGCTATGGAGAAGACCTTTACAAAGAAAGACAGCATGAAAATAGCGTCCTCTGTGCACCAGCGAGTACGAGTTCACAGTAATGATTCTTATAAGAGAAGGAAAAAGCAGTGATATCACATTGGCAGTTTACTTGGTAGGTTTTATGCTTTGAATTGACCGAAATGTCATCTGAAAAAATAAAAAAGATAAACAGTATTGTTTCAAGTAATTATTTTTGTTTAGTACCTGTGGTAGCCATCTTTTTTTTTTTTTTTTTTTT